AAAGCAGAAAAACATGGTCCCCATGAGGTGCACTAACCAGTGTTACATTGTGTCAGTAGCTGATGGGTGACTGAATATTAAATACACACAGTGCTGTGTACTGTACAGTGTAACAGCTAAAACAACCAGGTCAAAGGCAAACAGAGAAAAACATGGTGCTGAGTAAGCTGAGCATGAGCAGCTCTTTATGATCACACAGCCCTCCTCTTGTCAGAAATCACCTTTTATCTCACAGACATCAGTTTGACTAAAAAGGAAAAAGAAAGAAAAGAGAGATTTCGTTGGTTCCCACTGTGTAACAAGCCACCCCTGATAAACACCAGTATAACTCCTGTATAATAAATGGGCCGGTATAAACTGCTGCTGTGGCTGGACTGGTTAAAATCCAACACTGAAAATCACACTTCAGTGTTGCTGCTCCAGCTCTCAATATTTAACGTTACGAAGACTCCAGCGAGTAGCTGCAGTGAGTACTTTTTGTTTAAGATGAAGTTTCAGGCTTATATTATAATGTTTTCTGTGAAATTGTAATATCGGATGATTGGGTGTTCACCTATCTAACGTAAGACTTTTTGGACTCGGTGGATATTTTGCTGCCTTTTAACCTTCTTGTGAGTTACACAGTTGTTCTGTACACAGGATTTTACTGGTCCAGAGGTCTCAGTTCAACTGAAACAGACTCTTCACATCACGTAACTGTAGGTCAGCACTGATGAGTTTCTTAATGAGTAGCTGCTGAAAATGAGAATTTAGTATTTCTGTCAGTCTCTGGGTCACTGGTTTGGAGTTTTAGAGATGTTTATGGGTTTCTAGTTTTGATTGTCTTCATATGAAAGGTTATGTTCTGGTTATCAGTGCATTGACTTAATGGGAGGTTGTTCATTCCCGTTCTGTTTCTCCATCTTGTCCAAGTGTTCAGTCTTCCTCCTCCGTGTCAAGCTCGTGTCTCAGTGTTTCTTATTTCCTGTTTTATTTTGATAGTCCCTTGTCCTGTGTGTTTCGTCCTTCATGGTTGTGTTTCCATTTCCTTGTTGAGTTGAAGGTTTGATTTCCCTTGTTTTGTTAGCCAAGTTATTTTGTACTTTATTTGAATAAAACCACTTTTGAGTTTATTGCTCGGGTTTCTGAGTCCGGTGTTTGGGTCCTGCTCCGGCCCGTTACACAGACAATTTCAACTGTTTGACAGTTTTCCCCAAAAGAAGTACAAACATATTTTTCTACAGTATTCTGTGAAATCTGATACATCAGCTTTGATTTTATATTGTGATTTCAATTCTGTTGTCACAGATAAAAGTGAAGTTTTCTCAGGTTCTCTTCTTCCGTTTCAGGATCAGCATGGAGGATCCAAACGATTCACATCCTGAAGAAATTCCTGGAGTGAGAGAAAACCTGGAAAACAACGACACTGCTGCAGCAGCTGCAAGGATTCAACAATATTTAGAAAGAGAAAATAATGTTCCACTAAATATCGCCATCACAGGGGAAACTGGTTCTGGTAAATCCACCTTTGTTAACGCCTTCAGAGGACTATGTGATGATGATGAGGAGGGAGCTGCTCCTACTGGTGTTACAGAAACCACCATGGAGGTCACAGCGTACCCCCATCCAAACTATCCCAATGTTACTTTATGGGATCTTCCTGGAATCGGCACCGCCAAGTTTCCAGCTAAGAAGTACCTGAAGCTTGTTGGATTTGAGAAGTTTGACTTCTTCATCATCATCTCAGACACTCGCTTCAGAGAAAATGACGTGAAACTGGCTCAGGAGATTCAGAAGATGAAGAAAAAGTTCTACTTTGTTCGATCAAAGATTGATGAAAATTTACACGCCGAAAGAAGAAAGAGAGACTTCATTGAAGAGGAGACTCTGACAAAAATTAGAGAAGACTGTGTTCACAGTGAGTTTCTGATCCATTAGACCCGAGTTTGATCACTTTATAGATTTATATAATGTTAACATGTGTTTCGTCTGTGAAACAGGACTCTGAGGATTAGGCATCAAGTCTCCGCAGGTCTTCCTGGTGTCCAGCTTTGAGCTCCACCTGTACGACTTCTCTCTCTTGCAGCAGACCTTAGAGAGAGACCTTCCTAAAAACAAGAGGGACACTCTGCTGTTCGTGATGCCCAACATCAACCCAGAGATCATCATCAAGAAGAAAAAAGCTTTTCAGTCCAAAATAAAATACTACGCTACTCTGTCTGCAGCTGTAGCAGCTGTTCCACTTCCTGGTCTTTCTGTTGCTGTTGACCTTGCTTTGCTGGTTGGTGCCGTCACACATTATGTTCATGCGTTTGGTCTCGATATCCCGTCTCTGAAGAGACTTTCTAACAGAACAGGTGTGCCCTACACTGATCTGTGTGCCATCATCATTTCACCACTGGCTGCAGCAGAAATAACTAAAGATCTCCTCTTGAGAGTGATGGCCCAACTTGCGGGAACAGTTGCTTTAATTGCAGCAGAGGAAGCAACAAGGTGGATTCCAATTATTGGAATTCCAGTAGCCATGCGTCTCTCTTTCACCACAACCTACAAAGTTCTGAATTTGCTCCTTGAAAAGCTCGCTGATGATGCTCAGAGGGTGTTTGAAAGGACTCTGGTTTGAATCACACATTGGGATTTAAAAAATAAAAACCAAATTACACACTGAAACGTTCCTGTAATTATATCAATAAAGGAACAAATGAGATCTTATTTTTCAAATATGAACTGTGTACAATGCAAAAGAGCTGCGTAATCATTGCTCTGGTTTGTTTTTCTAATTCTTTGAGTTAATTGCTAACATCAGCGCTTTGTAGAGATCGGCTGAGGTGATGTTACTGCTGAAACATCTCCACTTATGTTTGATTTAATCTTTGTTTTTAAACTAGTCTTTGTTATCATGTTGTAGCTTCCAGCGTCATAAATACAAAGTATGCAGAGTGTTTTATGTCATGTGATAAGCAGAGGTGTGTGGAACAGAAACTGTTGACTGTCGATTGTGTTTGCTGCCCTCCAGTGGTCATGGTGTAAAACTACAGCATAAACAAATGCAGACATGAACCGGACTGATATACACATTAACATTAATGTTAATATATCTTTTTTTACATTTTGTTTTAAATATTTCAAATCAAATCTAATAGAACAAGGTTGGTTATTCACCTGAAATTAAGGATTATTTTCATCAGTTATTTTTTTCAGCATTTGTTTGATATTCTTCATCCATTAAAATTGTTGTAGAATTATTTCTGTTCATGGACTCATTGATTAATGGTTTCACTGCTTTAAGAGACGACATCGTTAATTCATTGTCTTCTAATTTCTCTGTATTTGTTTCTCTATTGTTTTCTCTTGTTTTTAACCGACTGTGAAGCACTTTGGTCAACTGTTGTTTTTAAATGTGCTCTGAAGTTGGTAAGTACATTATGTAACTATTCTTACTTGCAGAGCAATGAGAGAGGGGTGATGTGAATCCAGGGTGAGCTGAGTGGTGTGGGAAGGCTGACCTGAGAGGTTCCTGATGGAGTGTGGTGGCAGGAGGGCAGGCACGCGAGGAAAAGAGTGATTTCCAAAATGATGGTTTGGTATCCTGAGTCAGAGAGAGGAGCATAAGCCAGAGGTTTGAGATGAGGTGAATCCAGGAACTGTAGCACAAAAAAGTAAAATTAGCAAAGTAAACAACAAAGACAGCTTGAAACATGAGAGCTGGCTACCAACATGCGTTGATGATGAACCTGCAGTGCATGAATGTCAGCGTGAGGCTTAAATCACTCTGGCTTGATTGCCTGCAATCGGCTCCAGGTGTGAGGAACTGGAGGAGGCCCTGCCCAGGGGTGGGTACCAGGTAGGCAAAACAAGGACAAACACTCCAGCTGAATGTCTGCAAGACCAAGGAGCTGGGGCTGGAGGGGTCAGCAGCGAGTCTACAAGCCCCTTATCTTCAATGGAGCTCCAGTGGAGAGGGTGCAGTCCTTCAAGTATCTCAGTGTTCACATCTGCTCACGTTCAGGTCCAGTCCAAAAAGGCAGCACCTGTACCATTGAGGAAGTTTGGGGCCTCTTCAAGTGATCTTTAGGACCTTCTATTCAGGTGCTGTGGAGAGCATCCTCACACAGAACATCCCATCCTGGTCAGAGAGCAATTTGGGGTTAGTATCTTGCCCAGGATATTTGGCATGCAGACTAGGGGAAGCCAGGAATCAAACCACCACCTTCCAACCCGTAGATGACCAGCTCTACCACCTGAGCTACAGCCACCCATTAAAATGCTGCTTCACTGCTGCTTACATTTCTTTGTCTTTTGTTTATTCCACTTGAATTGCTCTGTCAGTACACTGCTGTGCTAATATGGCACGAAGCACTTTAACATTCTATTTGCACAATGTACATTTTCAGCTTTTTAATTTAAAATTTCTATTTTTAATTAAAATGTACTTAATTTACTTAATGTTTATAATGTTTTGCACAGTCAAGTAGCAGTTCAGAACACATTTCCCTGTGTGCTGTACTTCTGATTATGCATGTGACAAATAAAGAATCTTTGACCAAATATCTAAAAACCAATTACCTTTGACAGAAAATAACCATCCGTTGCAGCTGTAGACTTTAAGATGTTTTATATTAATACATTTTGAGAGAAATTTTGTAGGTAAGAACGGTCAGTGTCTAACCAGTGTTTCTAATATTCTGTCCACCCAAGAACAGACTCATTACAATGTATTGTGTGGTGCAGAGGAATCTACTGTTTGGATAAAAACAAATAACACAGCTGTAATAATAATTAATGTTAATATGTTTACCAATAACATTTTATTAACAGCAGGCAAGAATAACGTTGATGAACATTCAGTCATATCTGTATTATTTGTGTTGTAGTTCCTCACTGTGACCGCTGGAGGGCAGTGGACTCATCACAATCTACAGTCAACAGGACACATAAACCACAGAGCAGTTTCTTTTCTACCCACCTCTGCTTATCTTACATCATCCACTCTTCAATAATTTATTCATCATGCGGTGAAAAGCTGAGGACATGAGTTCCTCTCCTGTGTTGTAGAGACGAAATTCTGTTACTGATCATGCTCTGTGCAAAGCTGCCTGTCTCCTGCAGATGGTGCTGTTGTCAGTGAAGATATTCAGCTCACCTTTGAACACGTGGCTTCTTATAAATCAGCTGTTTTACAGAAAACTTGCAGTCTTATGCTAACGTGCAAAATGTTAATGTATTCTATTCTTTTTTTCAACAATAAACATAAAATCTAGCAGAAGCAGCTTATGACAGTTTGACTGAATAATTTTTATTCATCCCGCTAAACCTCTGATCAGCCCTATACTCATGTCAGTAACTGCATCAGTCACAAATTGAGTTTCACTTTCAGGGGGCGGGGCTAGAGGACGCAAGAGTAGCAGCTACAAGACTCTACTGTGTGCAGACAGACCTCCATCCTGTCATCGCTCCATTACAGTACGCAGGTGAGCTCCATCATGTTGTGCATCTGAATAGTTTCTGTGTCTGTGCTCTGTGAACACATGGTGGGAAGATGCTCTAGTTCTTCTCTGCGTCACTGAAGCAGCGATTTTCATTCTACAATCACAGTCGCATTTTCTGTGAGTGCGTCTCGCGCAGGAACTAATCTCTTGGCTCCAGCCACATTTTTCACACATAAACGAGAGTGAATGTCCAGAGTGGAGGCGGGAGCAGAGGGTGGAAGAAGTTTTCTTCTGTTTGTGTAGCAGCAGAAGAATCAGAATTCAGAGCCACTGCCTCATCAACAGTCGGCTGAGAGTTTTAAACGAGCGAACACCTGTAAGGTAGGCGCTCACCTGCCAAGTCAACTGCCAAGGCAACACCGGGAATAATGTTGCACAGTAGCCAATGACACAGTCGAGTACAGGTTCAATAAAGTAAACAGCACATCATAACATTATATTATAATTATTGAGAAGAGTTCCTGAAGAGCCAAAACAAAATTTTCCCTTGTTCACGTTGAGTCCAGCTCTGTCCATGATTACTGTCACATCAGGATACTGTTTTACAGTAACAAGGTTTGTGTTTTACAAAACAATAAGTGTGTAATGTAAACAGTTTAGATTATCATTATGTTATATGCCCTCGGGAAGATATTTATCTGTGCCATAAGATAAGATCTTTATTTTTATTGTTACAAGAACAATGAAAGGCAGTTTGGCATCTCTCCATTAGCAGTATGTAGATTTTTTGCATTAAAATTAACTTTAGAATAAAAGATAAAAGATAAACAGTTGTATACAAGTTATATATACTGTAAGGTGCAGGCTAATCAGTGATAGTGCACACTGAGTAAGAGGTAGGAATGTTGGCTGCATTATACTATAATAAACACAGTTTATAAATACAGTTAGGAATGTTATTTATAACTACAACTAAGAATGTCCAAAATGCCCAAAAAGGTTAACAGCACAGTTAACCTTCAATCAGGGTGGAGGTGGGGCATGTTTGACAGCCTGTGGGTAGAAGCTTCTATTGAGTCTGTTTGTCTTTGACCTGATGGACCTGTAGCGTTTACCAGAGGGGAGGAGGGAAAAAAGTGAGTGTCCAGTGTGCGAGGGGTCTTTGATGATGATGCTGGCTTTCTGCTGAAGTCTGCCAGTATAAATGTCTCTGAGGGGGGTTAGTGAGGTGCCAATTGCCCGCTCTGCTGCCCTCACCACCCGCTGCAGTTTCCTCTTGTCCTCCATGGTGCAGCAGTAAGTCAGAAGCCTCTTGATGGTGGAGCGGTAGAAGTTTGGCCAGCTCAAACTGATAAAAAGGCTGGGCTTCATCGATGTCGGCAACAAAGGGGTTTTGGAAAAGACGGATTTCTTTTGCATGAACATGTAGTTGACAGAAACACTGAACTCCACCTTCAGCATTTCCAGTGCTTCCACACACTTTTCAGCTGGGAACAGGACCGCTGGGTTCTCTGCAGAAAGGTTTTGGGTAGCAGGGAGATGGGTGAAGTTGTGCTTTTTCACTTGTTCCAAAAGCAGCGCTAGTTTCAACTCAAATGCTTTTATGTGGGAATACATGTCGCAAATGAGTTTCCCCTGGCCTTGTAGCGGCAAGTTAAGGACGTTCAACATTTGTGTCACGTCTGTTAAAAATGTGCCACTTCCATTCTGGGTCGATCAGCTCTGGGACCGTTTTGCCTTTTGAATGAAGAAATGCGTTAATTTCGGGTAGCAGCTCGTAAAAACGCCTCAAAACTCTGCCGCGGCTCAACCATCGGACCTCTGTGTAGTACAGCACATCTCCGTACGCAGACTCCAGTTCAGTGTGTTTAAGTCCCTTTGCTCTTAAGAGGTTTATGCATGATACCACAGCCTTCATGACAGAATCCCACTTCAACACTTTGCAGCAAAGCGCTTGCTGGTGAATTATGCAGTGGACTTGTAGAGGGGCGGTGAGACCCCATTCTTCCATCTCGCGGTTCATGCGTCCCATTAGGCCTCGAGATGCGCCCACCATACAAGGAGCCCCGTCAGTCGTGATGCTAGCAAGCTTTGCCCAGTCCAGATCCAACTCTTCCATTGTTTGACATACTTTGTCGAAAATATCCTCCCCCGTCGTAGTGCCTTTCAGACTTTGGAGGGCTGCCAGCTCCTCGCACATCTCAAAGTTTGCGCTAACTCCACGAATA